GATTTATTCTCTATTATTTTTGATAATAAGCTCATAAGTAGTAATGTCCATTTTTGATGTTTTAGAGATTTGTTATCTTAGTTATATATCATAACCTGTCTCATATTATGTTTCAAATATTCTATTTATTCCATTTATATCCTATCAATATCCTATAATAACATTGCTCATAAAGGTATTTTATTAAATTTGCAAAATTCATTAAAAAATCATCTAAAATTTACCTTCATTTCTTAGCTATAAATCTTTCTTATTCAATAAGATTTTTTAGCATTTAGCATTTTACATTTTTCTTAATAATAATCTACAAATTTTTTATTAGATTTAAGTTAGAACCATTCAAGAGTCAATCTATGGTTTCTGAAATATTATTTTAGAGAAACTTTTTAGTAAAATAACTTGTTTATTTCAGATTATTGTTTTACTAAAAATATTAATAATTACTGAGCATTATATCAATTTTTAGAATATAGTTTTTAGAATTTTGATGTAAAACTTAGTATTAATAATTTAGCAAAAGTAAAATAAACTTATTTTACCTATAAAATAAAATCTGCCTATGCAAAAATTTTACTCTGTTCTTTAGTATAAGACAAATCAGCTGAACTTCTTTATATTAATTTTACTGTATTTTAAAAGAGATCGAAGACTATTTATCTAAAAATAAAATTTTATTTCAATCATCATTGATATGCTTTTATTCCTATTAGACTCATTTTTTGTTTATAGATAGCAATCAGTATTAGAATTACCTTTAGGAGAGTATTTTTATAACTATAAGTGATTAAGTGTCTTAAAACTATTAAGTAGGATATTTCAAGATCTTGCTATCCTAATTTCTTAACCAAAATTCTTGTTAATATTAAAGTATTTCTTCAAATATTTTATTTTAAAAGCTTAAAAAATTTGCTAATAATCTTTTTTAGACAACCACTTCCTTTTTTTTGACTTATTATATTAATATAATTTATTTTTTAATATTATCATATATAGTAAAGAAGGAAATTTTTGTAATTCTATATATTTAGACTCTTTTATATATCCTTATTTTATAATTATAAAATAGTTTAACGTTATTTTTTTTGTTTTATAATTATATTTTGCAGTGCAATAGTTCAAAAAAAAATATATACAATATATTAATCAAAATTTAGAATTTATTTATTATAATCATCATATTAATTTTTCATTTTAAAAAATTAAAATTAGATAAATTTTGATTATATGAGATCAATTTAAATTATATGATCAAAATTTTCAGTTTTTTGTTTGCAATATATTATATATAAAGATAGATTAATATAAAGATAACTTTATATAATGATAAAAGTAAAAAATAAAAAATAAAGTATAATATATAAATGAAACAAAAAATTTTCTAGAAATATATAATGATTAAAATTACTAAATTATGATTTTACTATACAAACTTATATTTGAGTTTAATTAAACTCCTATTTGATTATATATTTAAAATATGATTATATTAAAAATATTTTTGGTTAAGCAAAATAAAATATAATCTAAAAAATTTTTTGTTATTTATATATATATTATTTAGGATTTTGTGATAAATTTAAAAACTTTTTAAATTTAATATATTTGATGTAAAAATAATACTCTAAATCAATTATAATTGAAACCAATTTCAAATTAATTTTATTTTACTCAGATTAGTTTTGATACATTTTATGATGAATTGGTTTTTAATTTAAAACTAGTTCTTAAACATAAACTTTATGAAAATTCATATAAAAAATCATTTAATATTTAACTAATATAATGTCTTACAATAATTATATAATATATATATATTTATTACACAAATATTTAAAATAAAAATAATAAAATTTTTATTTAATTTATATATTATCATTATATTTAAATTTTTATTTAATTTATATTTTATTTTTATATTATAATTATTATATTTTTATATATTATAATTATATTATCATACAATTATATAGTTATATATTACAATTATACTATAATAAGTTAGAAAATATGTATTATAATTAAAATTGCTTATCTAAACTTATTTTAAATTTAACAAAATATTTAAATTTTAGTTTTACCAATTTATTAAAGTTTTAATATAGTTTTGCATTTTTATAAACTTTAATATAATTTTACTTTTTCTAGAATTTTGCAGATTTTTTAATAAGATTTTAATATAATTTTGCTAAATTTTATCTTTTACTATTTAATGATTTGCAAAATCTTTAATTTTACTTTAAAGATATTAATAAAGATAATTTTTTTGAAAAATAATTAAAATAAAATACTTACATTTTTATATAAGATTTTTAATCTTAAAGTTATTTTTAATATTTCAAATTAACTTTTTAATTAGTATATTTTTGAAGTAGAATAAATTTTTCTTTAATATTATTTAGTAATACAATTCTTAAAATTTTATAATTATTTTATTTAAGATTAGATAATTTTATATAATGAAACAGTTATTTTAATATTACTTTTTATAATTTAAATATTATTTTTTATAAAGATTATCTTTAAATAACTTATTAATTATTATATTAAGTAATTAATATATATTGGTAACTATTTAAAATAACTATTAAATTAATATTAATATTGCAAAATTTGATTTTAACTGATACTTTAAGATTTTCTTTAAAATAATTATATATTATTATTATTAAAATATTATTAATTTTTATAATAAATTTAATATATTTTATTATTATTTTATTAAAATAGTATCTATTTTATATGTTTTACTAAATTAGTAATAATACTAAATAAAGTCTATTTATTTATTTGATAACTACTATTTTTAAAAATATAATATTAATAAAAAATTTATATTATTTATAGTATAAAAATTAAATAAATAAAAAATTAAAGAAAAAGAATTATTATATAATTTATATTTATGATATATATTAAAATAATTATTGTTAATATTACTTAATTTACTAATAAATTAACTATAATTTAAAGTTAAAAATTAATAGTTATAGTTTAAATTATTTAATAAGATATATATTAATAAGAGAGTTCATTTTATAATATTAAAGAAAAACTTATACTTTTCTAAGATAAATTTAGATTCTATTTATATAAAATACATTTTATTAAAAATTTTATTTTAATATTATATCTTTGCTATTATTAATAAAATTATAAAAATATAATAATAATAGAGTTACTAACTATAATAAATATATAAAAGATAATATTATAATAATTATAAATTTATTGCTATTTTATTATTATTATTTACTTTATTAACTATATTAATTTTATCAATTTTATATAAACCTTTTTTTTGATTTTAATAGGATTTTAAACTAATAAATTTTTAATAGTTTATTAAAATTTTATAAAAATTTTAATATGTCAATATTAAAAAAAATTATATCTTTTTTATAAATAAAAATATTTAATAGTTTAATATTTTAAATTTATTATTAACTTGTTTTATTACTCAAAAACTTAATCATATAATTTTTAGCTTATAAAATAAAATATTTTTAATTAAAGCTAACTAATTTATTATTTTAATTTATTTTATTTACATATTTTTCTTTTAATAACTAAATATATCTTTATTAATTTTAAAAGAATTTGTTACTTTAATTAATTTATTTCCTTTAATATAAGTAAAATATGAATTATAATTTCATTTAACTATTTTTTTATTAATAATATTTAGTCTTTTTGCTTTTTTAAAGTAGAATTTGTATAAATTTTATTAACAAATTATAATTACTTATATGTGATTAATTAACTATAATATTATATTATATTAATTAGATAATTATTCACAAAATATAATATTTATTATTATTTAAATATATAATTTTCTTTAAAATTTTATTTAAAAAAATATTTAAAATTAAACAATCTTGTAATAAAAAAAGATTATTTCAGAATAATATAATAATTAGTGATTATATTAGGAATCAGCAGAGATTGACATAAGAAGTTGATTTAATTAGAGGATTGACATTCATATTTGAATATATTTTATAAATTCATTTTTAAATTAAATAAAAAAATTTTACATAAAAAATACATTAAAATTTTACATGTAATTTAATGTTATTTTGAAGCTATAATATATTAATTTTTATTATTATCAGATAAATATTAGGTAATATTCATTAGAAGCATTTTTATGAAGTGAAAAATAGCTAAATTTTAATTGTATTTTAATATAAAAAATGTTATTTTATTATATTCTATAATACTATGATATGTAGGATATGAAGATTTAAAGTAGATATTTTTGTCTTTTTATTAATAAAAAAAAGTATTAATAACTTACATCTCTATATTCTATTTTGACTATTTATTGTTAAAAGAAAATTTCAAATTAGTAATGTTAGAACAAAGTTATGAAATTTCCTCTCCTTTATCTTTTTTATTTTTTGTAAACTTTTTAAAAAAAATATAGCAACAAAATAAGCAGTGATAATGAGTTCGAATATGAGATATTTAGTAAAATATTTAATAATAATAATATTAATAATATTAGTTAGTGTGCATGTTATACTAGTTTACTGATTCTAATTAAAATTTTGTATTACTATAAAATACTATAATTTTGGTATATTGCAAATGTTTTAAGTCACAATTTTTTTGACAAAAAAAATCTTAAAACTAAATATATAATACCTGCTTAATCTAATATAGATATTTTTTTATTCACAAAAACTTTGCATTAGCTTATATAACCACTATAAAAAATAGTATATTTTGACATTAATTTGAGAGATTCTTTATTACATTAGCTTCTGACAAAAAATTTTATAGCTAAATACTTATAATGTATCTTACAATCTTTGGCTTTATTCTTGTTTTAATATATTTATATATAATAGTTTTAAAAAAAATGAGCATTTTTATTTTATATATATATTAAAATATATTAATAAATTACTTTAGCTATACAAAAGTTTGAATTATTCTTTACAAATTTATAGATTTCTTTGAAAAGTGTTTACTATTACTTTTTTTTTCTTTTATTATTGAACATGTTGCTTAATTTGAATTAAATCCCATTCATTTGATAACATATTTAACTTTTCCATTATTTTTTCATTTGTTAGGTTATTTTGACTTAAAATTAAAGACTTTAAAAGAGTTTCTTTTTTTAAACTAACAATTCATTTTTACTTACATTTTTATAGTATTCAGCAATAGCTGATTCATCTGTAGCTAATTTATGTAATTCATTTTGTATCATAATATTATATTAGGATATTATTTGACTAGTAGAAACTTTAGCATTTGACTGCTAGTTTAATTAAAACTGTGATTGTAATTCTAAGATTTGTGTATTTTTGGTTGTTTTCTTATTTTATTTGCTTCTTTAATTTCTTTTTGATGAGTTAATATTTTTAATCTAAATACATCCAATTTGCTTCTTCCTGGCTGGCTGACTTTTGTTTTAAGAATATCTTCATAATAAATTGCTTACATATGAATTACTCTATCAGAAAACAATTTTTTAGTTAATCTACTCCTTTAGCTGTTAACTGTGCTTAGTAAACATTTTTTTATATATCACTATTGAGAAATAATTCATTTGTTTGATCAAATTCTTGAAGTAGATTTTTAACTAAATTTCACATTGCATAATATTTTTAATTTATTGCATAACTTTCAATTTGGATTATCAAGATATTCAGATAATAAGATTCTAATTTGATCACATTCTGTTTATACTGATCTTATTTGTACTTTTAAATTACTAAGCATAGGTCAAATAATGACAAATAAGGTACTAATTAGTTATCATTCAGTAACCCAGATGATAACTAATTAGTACCTAATATTTTTTATTTAGAAACTCGATTGCTATCGTAAAATAGTGGAAAAGGAGTACAATCAGATTTAAATCAGGGTATACAAATCAGACTCTCATCAGTCACTAATTTGATACTAATAGGATATACCTATTGCTAAATTTATTTAATTGTTAATACCCCGATTGATATCTTTTGATCTTCTAATTAATTACAATATCAAATAAAATTTTTCGATTACAAAAGAATTTATTCAATAAATTTACTTATTATTTACTTATTTAGTATTTATTTATAGCAGAAAAAAACTGAAAAAGCTGAAAAAAAAAATAATTTAAAATTTAAATATTGCATTGATTAATCGTCGTCTTTCTTATAATCACTATTATATTTCATTGATACTAAACTTCTTCTTTCTCTATTCTCATTATCCTTCTCAAAATTTTTGGCATAGTTTCTATTATGACTATTATCCTTCTCTTTGATATTATTCGTATCTTTACATATCAGAGAGTAGTTAACATTACTATATCTTCTAACGTATGACTTTAACGATCTGTTGTACCTTATTCTTATTCAAGCAGAGGCATTCACAGATGTCTTTCTTCATTTAATGCAAATTCAACATAATTATATACTCATTTTATCATTCTGCATATCTTTGAAGCTTAGCTGAATTTAGTATCTATGTAATCTTATAAAAAGGTATGCAACTATTAAAAAATATTAATTAATATATGCCGATTGGAACTAATGATATAATAATATTCATTACTTATCATTGAAGATTACCACTTAATGTCTCTAATGATGATCTTTTATTTGAGACTTTTGTCATCAGTTTCTGATACCTCTGGACTATAGTATCAATTATCAGTGAGGACTGGTTGGATTTTATTGTTATAAAATTTTCCCAATAACCAATCATTCAGTCTTATTAATTTGCTAATTGTTCTAGCCCATCTTTCTCATTTCTAGATGACAAAAAAAATTAGATAAGGTTAAAAAACAAATAACATGATCTTTTATTAACCTCTATATGTTGCGAATTAGCATATTTTTTCCTTTTGTTATTGTCGGTCTACTCGACGCTTCTTTTTTAGTTTAGAAATTCTTCCTGTTAATGATGGTATTGTTCATGAATTATATGTTTGATTATGTCATATACTACCAGAAACATTTTTTTGTTGATCTATTTTTGTACTATCAGAATGATTTTTTAGTTGACCAATTTTTGTTAGCTTTTAAACATTTTATTCACGTCTAATTTTTGACTTTCTGATAGTCTGTCTATAATCCCTAATATTTTAGACTTAATTACAAAAATACATTAACTATTAGCAAAAAAAAATTGATAAGTATAAAACAAATGAAAATAAAAAAAAGATTATCCTTAATGCATTCCTTAATTTCTTATCCATTTCATCATAAAAGAGATAAGTATAAGAGAAAGAAGCAGGAGTAGAAGAATAAGATGATTGGGATGATAATGAGTTTTGATTGGTCTTTTTTTAATTCTGATTGAAAAGATTTCTTTTAAGTTCAGGTCATCTTTTTCATATTCGTGATTTTTTTAATTGAGGCTTATTATTAAATATTCTTTCCTGGCTTCTACCTCTATTATTATATTATTCAGAGACAGAATCTGTGATATAAATTGACTTTGATGAATAAGCCTTTTTGGCCATGTTTTTTAAAGAGCCAGGTTGCTTGTATTGAGAGATTGATGTGGAGAAATTTACTTTATCATTCGTCTAATTAATTATTGTATCTTTTGGGTCTATTTCCTTTTGTTTTTCTCTTGTAATAATTATTATCAAACTTTTAATTTCATCTACTTAGGCTTGTAAAGTATCTATTATTTGAAAATATAATTAGAATAGTCATATAGAAGTGTTTCTAGGAAAATCAGGTTCTGAGAAATTTTAATTAAAATTAAGAGCTTAATACATTTTAATTTAATAACATCAAAAACTAAAATGCAATAAAAATCTTAATTTCACTAAAAAATTCCCAGAACCTGATTTTTTTAACAATCAACCCATATGTATTATGATCTAATTAACAATACATGTATTATATAATAAACAATCATACCAATTAATTTTTCTTTCTCTTTCTCTTTTTCTCTTTCTTTCTCTTTCTCTATCTCTTTATCTTTTTCTTAAACTATATTGATCAAATTGTTCTTTTTCTTTTGTTTTGATCAATATAATTCTTCTTTATGAAACTTTTCAGAATCAGTTTCAGTATCACTAGAATAGAAGAAAATAGAAGAAACTAAAAGTAAATGGTAATAAATAAAGAGAAAATATTAAAAATAATCGATTCATAACTAAACATACAGTTTTTCGCTGCTTCCGTGTTATTTTTTTGGAATAGGTTTCTTCAAAAAATCACTTTTTTTTTATTTACTAAAATCGATAAAATCCTTTACGTTTATCTTCATTGGAAGATTCTTTATCAGATAAAAAACGTTTATTAGATTTTTTGTTAGGCATGTTTTAGAAGATTTTTCTTTTGTTTGGAAGAAACTTTTAATAAAAAAAGAGAACATGGAGTTTTTTTATATGTTTTCAAAGGAGTATCAATATCAAACTTTTAACCACAGAATAATATAATCATTGGAATAAACTTTCTTTACATTAGTAATAAATCAGAAATTTTGGTGTAAAAGTATTAGTAATCATTGGAAGCAAACTTTCAATGAATCAGACATATTAGTTGTAAAATACTAGTAGTCATTGAAAGCAAACTTTCAATAAAATTTTGATAAAAGTACTATTAGTCATTGTAATAAAATTCTTTGAATTGGAAAATTTTGTTTGCGATTGTTAAAATAATAGTCATTGAAAATAAATTTTCTTATGGTAGTAATAGATAGGATGGGTAAATAAATCTATCTGACTGATTGGTAACGTTTGGATTTTTATTTTATCGTAAATTTTGTTTTAACAGATAATGAAATTTTGCGATTCAAATAAACTTTAAACTTTTCATGCAAATGATAATTTTATAAAAAGCGCAGTAAAACCAGAATAAATTCAAATTAAATATATTAAATTTTGCCTTTAAGATAAATCATAAAATCAGCATTAGTCGCATGCGAGCATATTTTATTGATATCATATACTTAGTAATTTAAATAAAGTATTTTTATATGAAGGCATTTTATTGATATCATATACTGATTGATTTAAATAAAGTATTTTTATGCGAATATATTTTATTAATATCATATACTGATTGATTTAAATAAAGTATTTTACTAATATTTATATGCTTGATTCAAATAAAATTTATATATATATACTGATTGGAAATAGCTAAATATTATAAATATTTATTTCTTTCTAAATTGAATTTTTTATCAAAAAAATGCCAAAACCAAAGAAACATCATATTAATTAGGATTGTTCAAAAGCTATTCATACCAATACTAAAACTAAAAATTTAGTTGAATGCAAATATATATTACATTGTCATGGTAATAGATAGATAGATCCTAAAATGTTTAACAGACATCAATAAGAAATAGAACAGTTTCGATACATTACTTCCAGACAGCGTTATTCTTCAACCTCAAGAAGTATTAAAAATAATTCTGTTGTAACTGAAACAGTATCAGTTTTAAAAAGAAAAAAAGTAATTAAACCAGTTAAACAAAATCACAATTCATATGAAGATACACCTAGTGATGATGAACCAATTCCAACCGTTCTAACGGATCAAAATTTAATTGATATATCAAATAAACGAAAATGTTACATGACGAAATATAATATTCTTGATCATGATGATCCAGAAATTGTTTCAGATCTATTAAACGATAAAAAAAATTATGAAATTCTGATTAATGATGAAGAGTCCTCTACAGAGGAAGATGATCATGCTTTGAGTGAAGACAGTGAAAATGATATTCTATTTGAGTAATTAACTGCTCCTGATTTTAATGATTTTGATTCTGATTTGAAACATAGATATTTTAATATGAACATTAATTTCAATGATTTATGGATAGTGTTATGGATATTCAAATATCAATCAAAATTCTTTCTTTCGGATACTGCTATTGATATACTTATTAGATTTTTTAGGATAGTTTTATTAGAAACTAATCAGTTATGATTTAAAGGTTTTTCAATAAGTTCCTATATGGCAAGAAAATTATTAGGAGTCAAAAGACAAGAAAAGATATATGCAGTATGTCCAAAATGTAATGCTTTATATAAAATCTTAAAAATCTTGATAAAAAATGCGACTGATCAGTCAGGCTCTGGATTTAAATGCACCTATGTAAAATTTCTAAATCACCTGAAATATAGCAGGAGACAGCCATGTGGAGCTGAGTTAGTCAAATATATACCAGTAGTAAAAGGCTATATTAAAAGGCCTAAAATCGTCTTTCCCTTACTATTTTTAAGATCACAAATAATTGCAATGTACCAGTGTTTAGGTTTTGAATCTCTTCTGAGAAAATAGACAAATTGGAATATTAGGATCAGTTTGATGTCATATATATATGATGGCAAAATTTGAAAAAATTTTCCTTCACGACTTGATACAAGCGATTCTTGATTTTTCACACTGAAAATAGCTGATCTTCATTTAGGAATTATTATTAATCTCGATTGGTTTCAACCATTTGAATCATCAGCATACAGTAGCAGCATGATTTATGAAGTAATATGTAATATTTCTCGAGAAGTCAGATTTAAATGAGAGAACATGTTATATCTAGGATTACTATTGGGACTAAGTGAAGTTAAACTGCATAAAATTAACTATTATTTCTCTCTGATTATTGATGAACTATTAGAATTCTAGAATAATATTAGACTGTTAGCCACATATGGTCATCCTACTAGAAGAAATATTCAATTAATAGTAATATGTTATTCTAATGATATACTAGCAGCAAGAAAGATTTGTGATCACATATCAGCATTATCCACATACTATAGATGCTATAAAAAAGCAAATACCAGTGGTAATTTTGGTGAGTTCAATGATATAACCAATTAGTTTCAAGAACGTGATTTTGAAGAACATTGACAAAATGCTGAAGGATGGCGACGGTGCAAGTCTAATGATGAAAAGAAACAATATGTTTCTACAACACTTGTTAGGTGGTCAGAAATGTTAAGGTTACCCTATTTTAACCTGATAAGACATCTTATCATCAATCTAATACATTGTCTTTTTCTTAGAATTGTACAGCGGATTGTTAAAAGATTATGGATCAATAGTGGTAAACTCACTAAATCAGACTTTGAACTGATAGAAAAAAGAGCAAAATCTATCAAAGTTCCAGCTGATTTAGGAAAAATTCTTTATAAGATCACTACTGGTAAAGGGTTTTCTGGTTATACCACAGATCAATAGAAGTCTTTTATTCTTATTTATGTGACCCCATTAATGTGGAACCTTCTATGTACTTCTGATCAAGAGATTCTAGCTAATTTTGTAAGAGCTTGCTTTTTATTTACTTGTCAAATTATTAATAATGATTTATTGAGTAAAGTTTATGATCAATTACTTTAAGTAGCTCTTTTAATTGAAGAACATTATGGGTAGGAGATGATAACTCTAAATATTCATTTGTCTTTATATATTGCTGAATATTGCTATAATTATGGACCATTATATTCTTTCTGGTATTATTAATTTGAAAGAATAAATGGATTATTAGATAAATAATTATAATGATTGTTATTGATACTTTAATTCATATTCAATTACTAATATTTTGTTCTCTTTAGATTCTTTTTCAAATAGTCAATGATGTATTGAACTAGAACTTTTGTGTATCATTACATAAAATTCAAGATTGGATGACTTAATTTCCAATCAATCGAAAAATCCTAAGCTAACTGAGATACTCAAATTAGTAAAATCTCAGCCAACAATTAGGAGTTTAGCATCATTTGATGGATTTGATTTTGCTAAATTATACCGATTTATGCAAATCTTCTATCATAATCTTGATGATACAATCACTAGTAATGAATAATTCCCTGGAGAAATGATTACACTGAGAAAAAATAATATGTCTCTACCAGATGATATTTATAAAATATTGGTCTAATATTATAATAATGCATATGATTGGAAGTTTGTGATGATTGCTGAAGCGGCTTCTAATAAATTAGTATCAGAAGACTCTATTATTGTATTACTACATGTAAATCAATATGGACGCATTTAGATTAGAGCTAAAATCTTTAAAGCAATGATAGCACTAAGGTATTTGAAAAATTCGTATGTTATAGCTAAATTTATACAAGACAATGAATCAACAGATATATTCACTGGTCAAGTTCAATTCTTTTTCACACATGCAATTGAACTTCTAATTAATGTAAGGATACATCATTTGGCTTTCATAAAATGGTATCGGCCAGCGCCTAACTAACAAATGAGATTTTATTGTAAAGTCAATGATGATAATGATAGTTGTAATATCGAACTTTGGAAAAATGAATGTTATGAAATTGATAAAGATAGTATTATTCCTACTCATAATATTTATAGTCAATTTATACCAAGCAAATTTATAATAGGTAAAAGAAAGCCAGAAACGTATATAGCAGTTATATCCATTAATAGACAATTTAGCTTATAGATATATAGTTAGCTTTCAATTGGTTTCAATATTTATCCTTCTCTGTCTTGATATTAAATACAATTTTTTACAGCATATGTATTATTTTTCATAAAAATTATAGCATATAAGTACTAAACTATTAAAATAAACAATTGTATTTTACATGTTTCTTTAGGGCAGTTTATCATATTTATTTAATTTATTACTCAAAAATAAACCAATCAGTAATTAAGATT